CCAATTACAATAAAGAAAACTATTTCATATGTTAAACATAATTATTGTTGCCCTGCTGAGATTATAAGGAAATAAGAGAAATGTCCACAGGAGAGCTCCCAATCCCAAACACACAAGCACACATACATGCATAGTATAAACAAACCCTGAGCTGAATTCAAAGCTTTGAGCATCAAATACTGCAATTTAAAAATCAAGTCTTGTTGCTCATATCAGTGTGGGAGCTGAATTCTGGGCTCCTTCTTTAAGTAAAGATCCCCTGAAGGGAGTGGAAATGATCTACAGAGTTAGTGTATTCTGGCTGAAACAAACACAAATAATCCTTTAAGGAAAGCATCCTTAATTTGGGTTCCCAGATTTTCACAGATTCAAGTCAATAAAATATCAACTCTCAATCAAAGATAAACATGGCACAAGGAAATAAACCATTAACATAAATCAACAGAAACAACACATGGCAGAATGTAAAATATCTGTATATAAAAAAGTAAACAGCAGAAGAGAATATCAAACAATGACATGGAAGATTTGGATGGAGATGAAAGATAAAAACAATGATGTAAAAAAACAAAAGAGTTAAACCACAGATTAGTCACAGGTGAAGAGAATTAATAAACTGGAAAATAGATCTTAATAAAGTACCCACAATGCAGCAACAATGACGAGACAAAATATGAAACAAAGATTAAGAAATATAAGTTTCTTTTTTTCTTTTCTTACAATAAAAAAAAACAAGGAAATAAAAAGAAATATGAAAGAGAGAATGCTAAGTTCTCAAACATATCTGGTTGAAGTTTTAAAAAGAAGAGAAGAGAGACAATGGTGGAAAAACAGTCATTGCAAAAATACTGCCTGATAATTTGCCAAAATTATAAATGACAATTCATAGACAGAGGAAATGCAGTGTAGTTGCTTGAACCATATGGGATTACAGGTCAAATGGTTTAATAGTGTTAATTTCATGCGGATCAAGCAATACAAAGCTAGGTGAATAAATATAAAGGAACCCTAAATTCACTGGAATGGAAATGCAGAATGCCAAAGCCAAACTGTTTTAAAAACAAGCTGAAAGAGAAGATATATCACTTATAAAGAAATAGTAATTAAGCTGACATAAATTTTTTCAACAGGAAAAATGGCACCCAACTATTAGTGGAATACATTTTTAAAGTACTGAGAGAAATTTTTAAAGTGGCGAGCACACAATGCAATATACAGATGATGTAGTATAGAACTTCACACCTGAAATCTATATAATGCTAATGACCAATGTCACTCCAATATATTTAATTTCAAAAAAAGAATTGCCAGCCTAGAAATGTTTACCTAGCAAATCTTCACTCAAAACAAAAAGGCAAAAGTTTCCATATATGCAAAAACTAGAAAGCATTCACTACCAACAGACGTAAAGTAGAGGAACTTTTTAAATTATATACTTCAGAAAAAAAGAACAGATTTCTGTTAATAGGACTTATCCTGCTTGGTAATAAACCAAGACTTCCATATATAGGATTAAAAATATGTAATATGCTATTTAGAGCCCTAAATATAGACTCAGAAAAGTTGAAAAATAAATGGCCGGAGAAAGATATAACAGGCAAATACTAAAAAAATGGAGTAGCTATTCGAATATCAGACAAAGTAGACTTTAAGGAAAAAAATGCATTATTAGGGATGAAGAAAGTCATCAGATGATGTAAAATATTAAATTCATCAGGAAGATTAAACAATTATAAATTTATATGACTTTAATAAATTGCCACAAAATAAATATTAGGTAAAAAACTGATAAAATTGTAGGGATAAACTGACAAATCAAACATTATGATGGGAGATTTCAAAACACATTACTATTGATAGATCAAAGCAAAATAACTTCAATAAAAAAAAAAGTTTGAAAATTACAACTCAAAGCTTGACTTATTAGATTCCAAGACCCTGTACCCAACAACTAGATAAATACATTCCTCTTGAGAACACATGGAAAAATTACAAAATTCAGGACATACCAAGTCATAAAACAAAGTTCAAAGCTTTAGTACCAAAAAAACCCCACAATTTCTAGTCACAGTACAATTAAATTAGATGATAGGAGCAGAAGAATAAAAAAAAAAAATTAGCTCTTTTAAAACACCTCATAACAACTTATGGGTTAATGAAAAAATAATAATGGAAATTAAGATACTTAGAACTGAAAGATAACAAAAATAATACATAATAACTAAGATTCAAAACAGTAGTGAGAACTTTATTATCATAAATGCTTATATTAGAAAAAAAGCGATGACTGTAACTCATTCAGTTTCACAGCCTCAGGACTGACAAGGGCAGGAGATAGGAGGGATGAGCTGAACAAAATCCAAAGAAAGCAAAATAAAGGATATAATAAAGAACAGAAATTAATGAACAAGGATACAAACTGTAATAGAGGAAATAAAAAAACCCAAAAGTTGATTCTCTGAAAACATAACAGCGACTGAAACTGGCCCAAGAGTACATGGCTAATCAATGAAGGAGCCAGGATTTAAATCTAGGCAGTCTAATGCCATAGTCCAGATTCTTAACTACTATGCTCTACTCCAAAATGCTATGCATAAAAGATTGTGATACCGCCCTGGCCGGTTTGGCTCAGCGGTTAGAGCGTCGGCCTGCGGTCCAGAGAGACCCGGGTTCGGTTCCCGCTAGGGGCGCGTACCTCGGTTGCAGTTTGTCCCCGGCCCTGGATGGGTCGTGCGGGGGGCAGCCACTCGATGTGTCCCTTTCATGTCGATGTTTCTCTCTCTCTCTCTCTCCCTCCCACTCTATCTGAACAAAAAATGTCCTTGGGTGAGAATTAAAAAAAAAGATTGTGATACCTAACTACATTAATCTTAATGATATCTATGCATCATAAATACTATAAGGCAAGATATACACAACACGTATAACTGAGAAAAGATTAGTGTTCAGAATGTATTAAAATTTCAACAAATCAATAAGAAAAAGACAATGACCCAATAGGCAAATGAGCAAAAGGCACCAAAAAGCATTTCCCAGAAGAGAAAATAAATAGCCAATGACCATATGAGAAGACACTCATAAGTAATACAGGAAATGCAAAATAAAAATACAATGGGGTAATTACCAACCTGTCACTTTGTAAAGTATATGGTTATCTAGTCACTATGCTGTATACCTGAAACTAATACAAAATGACATTGGATGTAAACTGTAATTGAAAAATAAAATATAAAAACATACACTGTGCCTGGCCAGTGTGGCTCAGTGGATTGAGTGTCGTCCCATGGACTGAGAGGTCCAGGTTCGATTCCTGGTCAGGGCACGTGCCTGGGTTGCAGGCTCGATCCCCAGAAGGGGGCGTGCAGGAGGCAGTCGATGAATGTTTTCCCCTCACATTGATGTTTCTATCTCTCTCTCCCTTCCTCTCTCTCTAAAAAGTCAATAAGAATATATTTAAAAAAAAAAAATACAATGTGCCCTGGCCGGTTTGGCCTCAGCAGTTAGAGCACTGGCCTGCAACCAAAGGGTCACAGGTTGGATTCCCAGTCAAGGGCATATACCTGGGTTGCAGGTTTGATCCTTGGCTCCAGGCAGGGTCATTCAGGAGGCAACCAATCAATGTGTCTTTCTCACATAGATGTTTCTCTCTCTCTCTCTCTCTCCTTCCCTCCCTTCCACGCTATCTAAAAATCAGTGGAAAAATATCCTCAGGTGAGAATTAACAACAACAACAACAAAAAACATACAATGTAATGGTCTTTTATGTGAGGTAGATTAACAAAAACTAGAAGGTCTGGTAATACAAATGTCGGGAAAGATGCTGCAATGTGGGAATTCTGACATACTCTAGTGGAATATAAATTGATACAACTCTCTGGCGAAATAACTCAGCACTATCTTGTATGAATATTCATATACTCCATGACTCAGGAATTCCACTCCTAGATATACATCCTAGAGAAACTCCTGAACATGTATATCCTAAAACACATATAACGATGTTAATAAAAGCAAAACAAAAAAAACAAACAACAACAAAAAAAAAACCTGGAAACATCTGGTGTCCATCAACAGTAAAAAGGAAAAACAATTTGTGGTATATTCACAATATAAAATTCACAATATATAGCAATGGAAATAAATTAATTAGAATTATACACAAGGATGATACTTTGAAAAATATTGAGTGGAAAAAGAAATTTACAGTATGATTCTATTTTTTTGTTTTTTTTATTCCTCACCTGAGGATATTTTTCTACTTATTATCAGATAGAGTGGGAGGGAGAGAGGGGAGAGGGGGAGAGAGAGAGAGAGAGAGAGAGAGAGAGAGAGAGAAGAGAAGAGAAGAGAAGAGAATAATGAATGTGATAGAGCCACATCTACGAGCTGCCTCCTGCACGACCCGACCAGGGCCGGGGATAAACTGCAACCGAGGTACGTGCCCTTAACCGGAATCGAATCCGTGACTCATTGGTCTGCGGGCCGATGTTCTAACTGCTGAGCCAAACCAGCCAGGGCTGATTTTATTTTTAAAGCTCAAAAGCAGGCCAAACTGAATGTATCATCCAGGTAGTAGGTAGAAGGGTACAATAAATGTTTATAAGAAGGTAGGTAGGCAGAATGTTTATAAGAGAGTAGAACAGCCCTGGCCGGTATGGCTTAGCGATACAAGCATTGCCTTGCGGAACAAAGTCCCGGGTTCGATTCTAGCCAAGGGTACGTACCTCGATTGCAGTCCTTCCTTGGCCCTGGTTAGGGTTGTGAGGGTGGCAACCAATTAATGTGTCTCTCTCACATCGATGTTTCTCTCTCTTCCTCCAGCTCTATCTGAAAATTAATGTAAAAATGTCCTCAGGTGAGGATTAAAAAAAGAGAGAGTAGAACAACAAAGTATACGATCGCAAATGCCAAATCTTGAGTAAATCTCATTTTTGTCTAATATTCATCTCTTATTCAAGTATCACCTTAACCAGAAACAAGAGAACCAACGGCAGTCTTACCTGCAGAAACACTGAGGGAGCTCCCCTTGGCCGTATAAAGGAAACAAAAACGGAGTGTTGCCATACCGCCCAAGACAGTGAAGAAAGTTTTTGGTAGCTCTGAGACCATCTAGGGTACTGCTGGCTGTCTCTGATGTCATCGCAATTGAATGCAGAACAAAATGCTGGAGGTTGGGAGTCAATTTTTGAGTTTTTAAATATTCAGAAAACGTCATCTCCTCATAGGCTATGAAAAGAAAGATGAAAATGTATCAGTGAAGATCAGAACCAAATTTCAATTTAAAACCACTACACGAAAATGAGATCAAGTCTGCTTAAAATACTTGGCAAGCCCTGGCCGGTTTGGCTCAGCAGTTAGAGCACTGGCTTACGGACCAGAGAGTCCTGGGTTCAGTTCCCTCTAGGGGCATGTACCTTGGTTTCAGTTTGTCCCCGGCCCTGCTTGGGTTCGTGTGGGTGGCAGCCACTCGATGTGTCCCTTTCACGTCGATGTTGCTCTCTCGCTCTCTCTTCTCTCTCTCCCTCCTGCTCTATCTAAAGATAAATGCAAAAATATCCTCAGGTGAGGATAAAAAAAAAAAAAAAAAAAACACTTGGCAAAGGACATGGTGACAATGATATTACATTTTGGACAGAGACCAGTGATTTGGAGGAAAAACCTATAAATCTTACTATCCTAATTGAATCGATGGTATAATTTTTAAGTTTTATACGATGAACCTTTGTTTAGTATTTCATAGACTTCAAAAGTAAAGTATTAAATAACTCATTTACCATCACAATTGTTTTCTGTGGTTGGCAATAATCTTACTTTATCATTAAAACTCCAGAGAAAAAAATATGTAGCACATAGACACAAACAACAGTGTAATTTTAGCCAGAGAGAAAGCGGGTGGGTAGAGGTGGAGGTGGGCAGAGGGAGGGGGGGAATGAGGAAGGAAAGAGACTTTGCTTGGGGTGACGGGTGCACAATGCGGTGTGTAGATGTTTTCTTGAGTTGTACACTTGAAATCTGTATGGTTTTGTGAACCAATGTCACCCCAATAAACTAAGTTAGAAGATAAAATAAAACTGCAGAATAATGTCAATAATTGCATTTTGAAATATTAAACATGATAAAGGGCAAAGTTTTGATGAAAATAATAATCGAGCAATACTTGGTTTTTTGAAATATATATTTTTATTAAAACTAGGAACAATGAACTGACTAAAAAGTTATGAAACTTAATTTCTTTGTGGCTAGTGGAATCAGTCTTACTGCCTTATGATCATACTACAAAAGATAACAGATCCCTAAAAACGATTTCTTTATACCAAGAACAGGAAAAATGTAATTGGACTGTTAGTGGTAGGAAGTACAATTACATGACAAGAGACAAAAAACTTCATAGACATTATTTCGATGAACAAATAAAAAGTATAAAAATTTACTAAGAGAATATGTTTACATCATTGTGGAGAACAATTTGGCAGTATCTAATGAACTTGAAGCTTTAAGAGTAAAAGCTACACTTTTTTTCATTGAATTTACTGGGGTGCCATTAGTTCAAAAAACCATACAGGTTTCAAGTGTACAGCTCAACAAAACATCCTCTGCACATTTTGTTAAAAAACAAAACAAAACTGCTGTAGTTCTATTGTAACTTTATAAATGAATTGTGAATAGTATGTTCTTATTTTGGATAACTTTTCCACTCCAATGCCCTTAAACTACAAAGCTCTGTTACTATAGTGTTATATTCCATTTTCAATAAGCTGTGAGATGGGTCAAAGACAAGACTAGAAATTATGTCCTGATCCAGCGGATGTCCTAATCCAGTGGTTTCCACTAGGCTTAAAAAAAAAAAAAAAATCAATCAAAATGAATAATTTAATATTCCAAGCAAAGTAATCCTATACAAATGAAAATCTGTAATTTTTTATTACTAATGAAAACAATTAATGGAACAATGCAAAAGAATACAGTAGTCACTCCCTTATCCATGCATCTGTTTTCCGTAGTTTCAGTTACCCATGGTCAACCACAGTCCAAAAATATTAAATGGAAAATTCCAGGAATAAACAACTCAAACATTTTAAATTGCACACAGTTCTGAGTAGCATGATGAAATCTTGTGCTGCGCTGATCCATCCCCCCACCCTCATCCTGCCCTGGAGAGGAATCAGCCAAGCATACTCACACTGCACACGCTGTGAGTTCTTCACTTCTCAGTTATCAGAATGTCTCAGTATCGCAGTACTTGTGTTCAAGTAACCCTTATCATACTTAATAATGGCCCCTAAGTGGGAGAGCAGATATGCTGGCAACTGGTAATGTCAAAGAGAAGCCATAAAGCGTACATATGTTTAGGAAAAAACCTAGTGTATATAGTGTTCAGTACTACCTACAGTTTCAGATATTCACTGGGGGTCTTGAAACATATCCCCTGTGAATAATGAGGGACTACTGTATCATCTATGAAGAACCAATTGACATTGCTCTGGCTGGTTTGGCTCAGCAGTTAGAACATCGGCCCATGGACCTGAGAGGCACAGGTTCGGTTCCCGCTAAGGGCACGTACCTCGATTGCAGTTTGTCCCCGCCCCAGTTGGGGTCGTATGGGTGGCAACCACTCGATGACTCTCTCACTTCAATGTTTTTCTCTCTCTCTCCCTCCCTCTCTCCCTCCCACTCTATCTGAAGATAAATGTAAAAATGTCCTCGGGTGAGAATAAAAAAAAAAAAAAAAGAACCAGTTGACAAAAATATTTAATTAACAAGAATAAAACACACAGAACCAGGTTTCTTCAATGATAAAAATGTTCTATAGCTGCACTGTTACCACAATAGCTACTAGCCAAATGTGGCTACTGAGCCCTTGAAATGTGGCTAGTCTGACAATGGAATTGAATTTAAAATTTTATTTACTTTTAAACAGCTACATGTTGCTAATAGCTAAAATAGTAGGTAATGCACAGAAAGAATGTGTTATAAAAGAGTAGTAGTGGCTCACTACATTAGAACAAGCATATTAAAATAATAACAGGGAACAGACCGACAAACCTCAGAGGGAGGGGAGTATGGGGTAAGGAAGAGATAAACCAAAGAACTGCTATGCACAGCCCTGGCCGGTTTGGCTCAGCGGTTAGAGCGTCCGCCTGCGGTCCGGAGAGGCCTGGGTTCGGTTCCCGCTAAGGGCATGTACCTCGGTTGCAGTTTGTCCCCGGCCCTGGTTGGTCGTGGGGGTGGCAGCCACTCGATGTGTCCCTTTCACATCGATGTTTCCCTCTCTCTCTCTTCCTCTCTCTCCCTCCCACTCTGTCTGTACAAAAAATGGAAAAATGTCCTCGGATGAGGATTAAAAAAAAAAAAAAGAACTGCTATGCACATATGCACAACCAATGGACACAGACAATAGTGTGGTGAAGGGGGGGGTGTCAATGGGAAGAAAAGGAGAGCCATCAATAATACTTAACAATAAAGCCAACTTAAAAAAAAAACAAACAAAAATGAAATAAAATAATAAGAAAGCTCAAATAATTAGAGAATACAATTACATGAGAAATAATACCTTTATATTCATCAGGATGTTCCTCATACTCCATACAAAAAGTAAGAAACTTCATTAGCATTCGCTTTTCTACCATAGTAAGTTGTTTGCTATTAAAGACATCTGCTCTTGAACAAGGAACCTGAAACACATAATTTTAAGTTAAGATTTTATCATTGCTTCCCAGTGATAAACAAGTATTCCAAAATATGTGTTTTTTCCCTTTAAGTATAACAACATTATTTTTTCCATTCTGGTCAGGCTGTATCACATTCCATTCCATCAGTTTTGATGGCATCTCAGTTGACTTCAGAGCTAGTGAACTTGTGAGCTCTCTTACTTAATTTGCCAAGTTGTTCTTTTTGCCATTAAAAGGCCAATGGCATGTCACCCCTAACTGGAAACAAATGACAGCTCAAATCTAGCTGTACTGCCCAAAATTAACACTTTCTCAACACCAACATCAAGCTGCAGAAGAACTCATGAGAAAATTAACACATTTTAATTGAGCAGTCTCTACTTACATTTGCAAAGCATCATTCAGGACTTGGATTTTCTACTTTATTGGAAAATAATTTATTTTGCTTATCCTTTCAAAGCAAACCATAATAACTTAAGCTCGTATCCAGCTACATACTTGATCAGCACAGTACCTGTTCCACTCTTCCTTCCCGAAATGCAAGAATCCTGGTAATATTTTTGAACTCTGCATAGCGACTGACATTAGATTTGATTAGAAGATCAATTAGCAATCCTCGAGAATACAGCAGCTGTACAAAGAAAAAAATTTTAGAGGATGAAATACAAGGTGAAATAGGGGAAAAATTGATTAACACTAAATAAAGGTATATAACTATTATATTTTAAATTATTTGTAAAAGACATTAAACCTGTTAATATTATAACACATAACATTGCAGGCTCACAATTGATTATCTGATATTCAAAATCCAAAAAACTCTGGAATCCAAAGTTTTTTCATAACTGGTTTGGCGACAAAACCTGACTCAATGTCTATAACGTACTTCTGCCTTTGTCCCACTTAATGTGAATATTCATACATCTGACTGCAGAAATAGTGATATGTTTAATTAAAGAGTGCCATCTCAGACCCTGCTAAGAATGTTAACATCATGTATAGCATATCAGCACATGTAGTGTATTACTTTCTAAAATATATATTTTTATTGAATTTATTAGGGTGACATTGGTTAATAAAATTATATAGGTTTCAGGTGTACAATTCTATAATACATCATCTGTATATATTGTGTGTTCACCACCCAGTCAAGTCTCCTTCCACCACCATTTATCCCTCTTTTACCCTCTTCTACCTCCCTCTGGCTCGCTTTCCCTCTGGTAATCACCATATTGCTGTCTGTGTCTATGAGGTTTTGTGGGGGTTTTTTTGCTCAATCTAAAATACATATTTTTATATCTGAATAACAGAACACACCAGGACCCAAAGGTTTTGGATAATGAATTGTAGCCTTATATAAGGCAGGTGGTTATTAAGAAGAAACTAGCTCGCTGGACCTCCTCATCAATGAAAAAGGAAAAAGACTGTTTGTTTATGCATTTCCACCAAAAGGGTCAAATTATAAGGTCCCTCTGTAACCCCAACAGTCTAGATTTATCTGAGCTATGTCTTTCTGAAGAAGTGAGGATGATGGTTATAGCATCCACGTGAGGGATTGATTTCATCTTTAAACATCTCCCCATAAGCAATATCAGAGAGACAAAAACAATTTCAATAGTATTAACCGGCATGTTTTAAATTTAACCATATGGTTAAATGCAACAGATTTAGCTATTGTCTATACTGAGATACCTTTAAGTGACTATAACTCAACGAATGTTAAAAATTTAATTACATCTGTAATAAGAAAGGGACAGAAAATTTTAGAAATCAGCTTTACTTCAAGGAAAAAGGGAATTTCAAAATCAACCTAAACCATTAGTCTAAGTATCCAAGAGGCCAGAAAAGCATTTCCGTTAATCAATTATCAGTTAGGTGAATTTTTATAAACTATTTATCATATTAGCCCAGCATTGTGCAGAACAAACAAAACTGACATTTGTTTTTTTGAAACTAATTCAATTCCACAGACTCAATTATGGCATGTTACTTCATTACTTTCAGCCTAATATACTACACAACTGATATAAGCCCATGTTTTTGAGAATACACTGACAAGTCTTAATTCTATAAATTATAATTATAAAAAAGGTGCTTCAAATGACTCATCTGTCTAAACATACTCGACATTGAATGATCCCTCAGTAGTCATAATAATTTCACAAATATTAATATATCAAACATAAAATGTATGTACACTTAATGAGATCTAGTAAAGCTTAAGATTTAATGCCAGCTTAAAAAATAATGCATTTAAGCCAAACGGTGTGGCTCAGTGGTTGAGCGTTGACCCATGCACCAAGAGGTCACTGGTTTGATTCCCAGTCAGGACACATGCCCAGGGTATGGGCCCAATCCCCAGTGGGCGGCATGCAGGAGGCGGCCAATCGATGTTCTCTCTCATAGATGTTTCTGTCTCTCTCTCCCTCTCCCTTCCTCTCTCTCTCTAAAATCAATAGAGAAAAAATATTAAAAAATAATAATGCATTTAAGATAGCACTGAAGTGTGAAAACACATTTCAATGAAAACTATTCTAAACTTTCGTCTGAAGCTTAGAGATAATGAATGTTACCATATTTAAATGTAAGCCTGTTTGTCACCATTCTAATGATCTACCACAGCACGTTCACAGTGGTGAAAGGCTAAATAATACTTCAAATTTGATTAAAATATGGGAACTAGATTTAATCATTAATAATTTTTGCTTCACATGGCCTGTTGCTTCCATAATTAGTAAGGGTATGGGCATTTTTAGAAATGAGTTTTAATTGTAAGAACTTAATTTGTGTGTCTATTAGTCTAAGCAGTATAACACTATCACGTATTTTATTTAACTAACCTACCGAGCTATAAGATTACTTTTTAATAGGCTGCATACATGGATGTGTTCTGTAAACTGTAAAGCACCACCTGAAATAGAATGTGTATATAAATGTCAAGTAGTTTGAAGATATTAAACGGAACTTTAGGAAAAAGTAGGTCTTGCAGAAGGTATTTGGCTTAGATGTAATATCTGCAATTATCAGAACAGATAAAACTTCCAAGAAGTGAATGATTGCTCCACTACCATGCAATACAATGCTTCCCATATAGTAGGTACTCAATAAATGTTTCCTAAATGACTAACATTGAAAAATGATACTAGCCTGGCCAGTGTGGCTCAGTGTTTGAGTACTGACTTATGCACCAAGAAGTTGCTAGTTTGATTCCTGATCAGGGCACACACCCAGGTTGTGGGCCCAATCCCCAGTAGGGGGCATGCAGGAGGTATTCTCTCTCATCAATGTTTCTATCTCTCTCTCCTCCCTTCCTCTCTCTCTCAAATCAATAAAGAAAAAATTTTAAATGATAATAAGCTTCCTATTGCTATGGTTATATATTCTTTAGCCACTCCTGCTTTTGTAGGATGAATACAGTAAATTATTACTGGTTATTTAAAAGTATGGACCCATGCCCTGGCCAGTTTGGCTCAGCAGTTAGAGCATTGGCCTGCGGACCAAGGAATCCTGGGTTCAATTCCAGCCAAGGGCACATACCCGGGCTTCAGTTTGTCCCCGGCCCCGGCTGGGGTCGTGCAGGTGGCAACCAATCGATGTGTCTCTCTCACATGGATGTTTCTTTCTCTTTCTCTCTCTCTCTCCCTCCCTCCCTTTCTCCTACTCTGTCTAAAGATAAATGTAAAAATATCCTCAGGTGAGGATTAAAAATAAATAAATAAATGAATAGAAGTATGAACCCATGAAAACGATACAGAACAAAGTACGATTGCCTTGATACCTCTCGATATGTTTGTTTTTAATTTACCCTAAGAGAACCACTGTTATGAGTCATTCAAACTCATAAAAATACCCAGAAATCTTCTTCAGAGCCTCCTGAAATGTATCAGCATCTAATCAACTTTCTCTCTGTCCACTATAACTATCCTTCATTTTCTTATACAAGTAAATAATGTCCTACACTAATTCCAAAAATGAAAAAGCAATGTCTTCTACCACTTTCCTTTGCAAGATTTATAATGTATAAAGTTGCCCTAACGGTTATAAAGACTTTTATGAACCAGCCTTGATTCTTAAACATTATTTATTTCATTGTTTATTTAAGTAAGGCATTCTAAATTCCAAGTAACTAATTCAAAATGAAATTTTCAGAACAAACCCTAATTGTTACTTGACATCCAGTTGCTTTTTTTTTTGTTGTTTGTTTGTTTAAAACTACTTCCTGCTCATGAGAACAGGGCTCTATTAGCGAGCTATGGTTAAACTTCCACCCACAAATCAATAGCAAAGGTAACACGGAAAGAATGTGGAGAAGGAGAACAGACAGTGCACAAATATGAAGTAGGAGCAAGACAGTAGCTAAGTCAGACCAGGACAGAATCAGACAGAGAGCTATGTGATAGAAAGAAACAATGCATAGTGAAAAGATACTCGTACTTTCATGCATCGAGTTGAAAAACAGCAGCAATGCAATTAGTCTCCTTACTCTGTAACTTGGAAATTGAAGAGAGCACATTAAATCGAAAAGCCTAGTTTTCTGGGTGGACTGATGTTATTCACTACCCTCTTCCTGCTTCTTTTCAATTTATTACTGTTTGCCCTTAACTTATGGGACTTGATCTCTGTTTCTTTATATCTTCACTGAACCCTATAGCTTAATTCTTTAAGGCCATTATCCTTTAGATTACTGGTTTTCTATTTTTTTGCACTAAATTAAGCTTGCTTTCTATAAATCTAATACAACCCTGTCCACTCCTAAGACTAAGACACTGACCTAACATTAGCGTTAAGGATGAAAACATAACCAAAGACAATAATATTCCTTCCAGCTTCCAGCCCCACTATTAAATTATCCTCCAGAACCCTCACACCTAAACAAATTATTTTTTAAAATGTATTCGTTTTTTCAAAATGTGCATTATCACACAGATGTTAAAACAGCTACTATATACAGGCTGAAAAAGTTCACTTAATAGACTGACTATAAATAACATGAATCTGTAATTAGGATCGTTAGAATTTTTCTTGATAGAATTCAAATCCATTCAGTAGAACAAAATTAGGGTGGACTCTTGTACAAAAGTATCCTTGCAATATAGTACTGAGAATTTATAATGTTTTTAACCTATGTTTAAAGATATTTAACTGAATTAATAACTTTTGGCTATTATAGCTTTATAAAACAAATGTTCTACTCCAGAGAAAAAAATTAAACAAATTATGTTCGTGGGCCAAGATGCTATTTTCAGTCAAGTGAAAATGAGTATTGTTCTAGGACAAGACAGGTAAACTTGGCTCTTACCTTTGATACCAAATCGATATTGAATCTCCTGCCCTCTTTAACAATTTGCGAGTAAGTAATCCTATTGTTCTTTGGCGGTTCTGTGATGTCTTCTGCTACAGGCACATTTTCACTTGTTCCTTCTTCTGAAGTTGACAGCACACAAGTTTTATCATCACAGAGGTTTTCTTTCTCCCCTGACACTTCAGCTTCAGCTCCTTCTGGGGCACTGCCTGGGTCACTGCGTGGAGTTTGTTCTGCGGGCACGTCGCTGCTCGTAGTGCTGGGTGACTCATCCTCTGTAGGCAGGCAGGCAGAGTCTGCAGCTTCTGTGGAGTTCGCAGATGTCGCCGAAGCATGATTTTTCTGCAGTGCACCAGCCTCTTCAACATCTTCTTGCAAATCCTGACTGATGAGAAATTATAAGAATAATCAACACCATGTTTTTGATAATTACACTTGGTCGCATTTTTATATTTTAACTTCTCATGACAATTTTTATGTCTTCACCCTGTTAAATCTTCTCAAGTTCACTGTATGTTTTGCCTTCTGTGACCCGCATATTCAACATTCATCTGCTCAGGTTTCAATACAATATGAATCATTAAGATTTGAAAAATATACAAATATTTCAGGGTTTAGCAGAACATTTTAGCAAACATGCCACATGTACATCTTTGAGAAATTTTTTAACTTTTATTTTGTATCTATTTATTTTCCTTTTTAATGGATTTATTGGGGTAACACTGGTTGACAAAATTACACAGGTTTCAGGTGCACAATTCTATAACACATCACCTGTACACTGTATTGTGTGTTCACTACCCCCAGTCAAGTCTCCTTTCATCATCATTTATCCCCCCATACCCTCCCTCCACCTCCCCTCAGCAATCATCAGAGCATTGTCCGTGTCTATGAGATTTTGTCTCTTTTAAAGTAGATAGAGCCCTGGCCGGTTTGGCTCAGCGGTTAGAGCGTCGGCCTGCGGTCCAGAGAGACCCGGGATCAGTTCCCGCTAAGGGCACGTACTTCGGTTGCAGTTTGTCCCCGGCCCTGGTTGGTCGTGCGGGTGGCAGCCACTCGATGTGTCCCTTTCACGTCGATGTTTCTCTCTCTATCTCTTCCTCTCTCTCCCCCCTCCCACTCTATCTGTACAAAAAATGGAAAAATGTCCTCAGGTGAGGATATAAATAAATAAATAAATAAATAAATAAATAAATAAATAAATAAATAAATAAAGTAGATAGAGGAACTGTATTTTCTAAACAAATCAAAATAGCACCCAAGAACTAACAGCAGCTCACACATGCCAGAATGGCTATTATCAACAGGACAAGTAGTAACAAGCGTTGGAGAGGTTGTGGAGAAAAAAGAACCCTCATTCACTGCTGGTGGGGATGTAAGCCGGTACAGCCAATATGGAAACAGTATGGGGGTTCCTCACAAAACTACAAATAAAGTTACCATATGATGCAGCAATCCCTCTTCTAGGTATCTACCAAAATGAAATTGGAAAACATTTATTTGTAAATATATGCACCTCAATGTTCACAGCAGCATTATTCACAGTGGCCAAGACATGGAGACAACTGAAGTACCCTTCAGTAGATGATAAGCTAAAGAAGGTGTGGTACATAACAGAATGGAATGCTACTCAGCCATAAGAAAAGATGAAATACTACCATTCGCTACAACATGGACAGACTTTGAGAATGTTATGACACGTGAAATAAGTCAGTCAGAAAAAGCTAAGAACCATATGATTTCACTCATGTGGGATTTAAAACTGAAATTCACAGACACCACCAACAGTATGGTGTTTACCAGAGGGAAGGGGGTGAGGGTAGTAAAGGGTAAAGGGAGCCAATTCTATGGTGACCAAGGATGATGTGACTTCGGGTGATGGGCACACAATACAATAAACAGATCACATATCAGAGAAATGTACATTTGAAACCTATATCATCTTATTATCTAATATCACCACAGTAAATTTACTAAGAAATAAAATACTAATGGAAAATTGTTTTAAACATCTAAACCCTACCACATAAAATCTGTTCCTGTCTCTAAACCCTATCACCTTCTTTATCTACTGTCTTCTAGTCTCACCTCTCCTACTTTGCAACATGGTATCTCTAATTCTTAATTTATCAACTCCAATCTCCATATTTTGGTTCATATCATTTCCTCTTTTTTTTCTTTATTGATTTTAGAGAGAGAGGAAGAGAGAAGTATAGAGAGACAGAAACATCAATGAGAGAGAACATCGATTGGCTGCCTCCTGCATGCCCCCCACTGAGGATCAGGCCGACAACCTGGGCATGAGCCCTGACCGGGAATCAAACCAGCAACCTCTTGGTTCATGGGTTGATGCTCAACCACTGAGCCACACCGGCTGGGCCCATATCATTTCTTTATTCTTGGTTATTCTCTGCACTCCCTATAATATCATAGTTTCCCTATTCCCAAATAATGACTTACTTCAAAAATCTATCCACTAAGACAAAGTCTAATTTCACTTTGAAGAAAGCATTCCCCAACCCAACCACACTCTTCATTCTATTACTCTGTGCCCCCATAATACACACATGAAGTTTACCATGCATTTATTTATTAGTTCCTTTTTAAGTCATTTGGTTGTCCAGGACATACTTTTGAATCATCCTTCAATTCTCAAGGGAAGGCCCTAACATCTCTTGATGTGTATTCTTCATACCTCTACTGGACTGCTCTATAACCATAGTATCTGGTAAATACTTGAATAAATGATTTGTACAAGCAAAGGATGTATGGGGGGTGTGTGTGTGTGTGTGTGTGTGTGTGTGTGTGAAAGAGAGAGAGAGAGAGAGAGAGAGAGAGAGAGAGAGAGAGAGAGAGAGAGAGAGAAACATTTATTTGTAGAAAACACAAAAAATTAGGCCAGGAAAAATCAATAAATTGTAAATTCAAAACTCTGAGTGCAATGAAAAAGAGGGCCTTATTAAAATTAACACAATAAATATCACAATAAAAAAAGGTAAGATGAAAGAATAAAATAACTTATTTTAAATGTCAAAAAATAAAACTCCATGGTATTTTTACTGTTATAAGCTAGTAGTTGTAATTAAATATAATGAAAAAAAGGAGTTGACAGTATTCATGTTTCGACAATACTTTTCCGATCTAGGAAAGTGTTATCAGAAAGTTCCAGTCCTAGATGCATTATTTTGCAGACATCAGGCAACTCACAATCTCTCAGAGTCCCCATCTATAAAATGGAGATCATTCCATCTGCCTTACCTTTCATGAGGCTATTATAAGATAAATGAGCTACCATAAATGAAAAGTATTTTATAAACTCTAAAAGGTTATTCAAACATAAGATATTAATCAAGTATAAGATATTGTTAAACTTCCCACAGTTAAAACAGGCAACTCAAAACATGTGCACCTAGGTCTTCTGAGAACATATGTTGAAAGCTCTTTGGCCACATAACCACACAACAGCACCACTGACATTTAGTGACATTCAAAATGAAGGGCAAGCATACGAGATGTGATTTGTATATTTTCTACAAAAGTGTTCACATTCTGTATTCCTCTGTATTCACTTTCATTATTCTGAAAACCAATAAACCAAAGTGTGTTCCATGAAGAATTTAAAGTCACAACTTTCAGCAAAAGTTCCATGCCTAAAGATTAAACTGAGAAATGACAGGATAATTAATTACACTTTATAGATAAGACAGAATATGGCAACTTCTCTTATTACAGACCACGATGATGACACAGTGAAAATTGAGCATAGCAACTGATCTAGTCAACGGCTCTCTGTTGCATTCTGAGAAAGGGGACGTAACAGAGTGAATAAAATGCTCTAACTGATGCTGGGCAATCTGGAATACATACGTGAAAATACTTAAATAAGGGTAAGGAAAGAAATTGTCCTTCGTGAATGTGTTTGACATCCATAAGCTATTATTAAGTTTTACTGGTTTCAACATAATTTGGTGAAATCTCTCGCACTATGTAAAACCGATGCATTAAAAACACAGTAGTGTCCTTACTGTCCATTAACAACCACAGGATTTTTGAAGTTCTGCCAAAACTGAATTTAATACCTAACTAGAAATTATAAAGACACCAGAAAATTCCAAAAACCTCAACTTCACTCCATTCCGAAGTAAGCAAAATTTGGTTAATTTATCTTTCTCAAATATAAAACTTTATATTGTGGTAAAAATTGTTGTTAAAAAAAGATAATTCTACCATTTGAAGCAAACTTTCTTGAATAAAATAGTAACTCAATTTTATTAATTTAAAAATATTTGAAAAGTACAAAAACACATTTGCCAGCTGAAAATGAATGTCACTGAATTATATGCTCTCAAAGGAATCTTTGCATTCTAATGGTACTATAATTTTAACATATAAAGGAAAAAAATCTGCATCATTAGTTCTTATGAAAATTTTCAGGAAAATGGATTTCACAAATGAAATTCAATGTTATTTATATTGCTAATTTGAATTTCAAAGGCCATTTATTCAGTATAACAATATTTTTTACATAATTGTACCTAACTGCAACTGCTGAATAGTGCTTTGTATAATGCAGTTTTTACTAACTGCCAAAAATTATACATAAACCTGAGAATTTGGTGAGCATAAATTCTGATATTATCTAGTATTGCTTATCAATTAATGTTAGTAACAAAAGAACACCTCAAAGTGAATGTGTCTTATTAATGCCTTGGAACAGGCACCCTTTTAGATGAGTCAAATGAAAAACTACCAGCCAGCTGGCTAATTTATTCAGCCCAGGTGTTCACTATTTATTTTTTCAGCCATTTGCACCTTTTCTCCCCAGTGCAGCTTGTTGAAGAAACTGTATTCTTTTACTCTGATGGATGCACTTTGTTGTAAGGCCATTCATTTCTGATTTACACGTTATATGTTATATTGCCACCCAGCTGTTTAATCCTGCAAATAACTGTTTATGGTTACTCATAAGGGTTACAAAAATCACACTATCCAAAAGTTGTTGTTTCAGAACATAGTCATAGAAAAAACAAAACACTGTAATCAATTTTGAATTGCTGCAATAGAATATATTGGTAGATATATTTTGCTATTTATTTCTAACTGAAAACGTGAACATATAATGTACAATAGAGCGGACATATCAACCTCTTGTCACCTTCTCCAAGAACAAAATTTCGTAAGGTGGAGCACAGCAGGTATTGTTAGTTGCCCACTCAGCAACCATTCATTACCCGCTTCCTCTCTGCCACAGAGCTGCAAGTTTCTTCCAGTATCAGGCAGGAGGGGCCCAGAAGTAGGGGCTAGATCATGGCTGATCAAAATCAGTTATGGTAACTTGACTAACCTTTGCTAGGCACTGCTTTTAGAGTGAGCAGGTTATCTAGT